GCTGCCAAAAGATAGTGTTATTGTTGCTGAAGCAGAAAAATGTTATACACAGAAAACCCGGCCAAGAGATGATATCAAATAATTACAGTAAACATGGGGCAAGTAAATCATCAGATTGGATTTGCTGTTTCCAAAGTCCTAGGATACTTTATGGTTATACTATTATAACATAAAGGTGAGAGAATGGACAATAAGCCTTGTTGTTGGTTAAACTTAATGCTCAACCTTAAAAAAGAAAAAACGAAATAAAACTGACATATCTACACAAGTGAAAGTGTTGTGAAAATAAAATTTTTGCTTAGATGAAATAGACGTTAAAATGTGGGAGAATACAAAACAGAATATTGAAAAATGCTTAAATTGACAGAAAGAAAAAAATGCCATATGATTAAATTGATTTGGACAAAATGCAGTAAAAATCTACAAAATTTAGGGGGTGTTTCCAAATATTATAAAATACAATTACATGTAAACGTAAGCAGTAAGTAAGACTAATTAAAATCACCTATCACATGTTCACAATATGGAGATCTGGTCATACTAACACATATTTATCCAAGTTAAAATGTAAAATGTAAATTAGGATTAATCTAGAATTAAGATTAAACATATTGTGGTGATATAGTGGGACATAATTTATACACTGTGAACATGAGATAGGTATTGTAAAAAGTATTAAAAAATGTTTGAAACTTTTTTTTAAATGTCCTATTGTGTGTGCTGAGCCGTATTTGTGTATAAACTTTGGTAATTCCAGGCAGCAGAATCACTATTAAACAATGCATGTCCTGAGCGTGCCCCCAGCAATGCTTTTAATGCAAGTTAGTGTGATGATTTGCTATGGAATGTGCGTCTCCTTGATGTAAGAGGTTAAACATACCTTTTAAAATCAGCGTCCTGTGAAGCGCTTAAAGGGGATTTGATTTGAGTCACTTGCACCACCCAAAAGTGGGAAGAGTGGCACAGACACCAGGGAACAAAGGATAGGATCCTAAAGTAAGAGACTGCCCTGCTAGATTTGGAATAATTGGGAAGCCTGGTCCATTGCTAGGTAAGGGACTATCACAATAACTCCAAATACTATATTTACCTTTGGTTGGGCCTTCAGATTTGCTTACTGTGGGACTGATGTTCCCCTTTAACAACTGGGTAACACCTAAACCAAAGCAAGGGAGCAAACAAATTGAGGGCAAATCAAAGTCAACATCCCTGTCAAATGAATACATGGAAAAAAGGCAAAAGAACGATGATATGGACCATCAGCAAATCCAGACATAAACTGGGGTCAAATAATCTGCACTCTGTAAACTCACAAAGGATTAAGTGTAAACCAAGGAAGCCTGGGGTTAGTAAACATGGCACGTATGAAGCTTATAAAGCAAAACAAAGTTTGTAAAAATGGTGGGTTGTAATACCTTAAATGGACACTATGGGCACTCATTGAAGTGGTCTGGGTGCACTGTTCCATGTGTCTTAACCCTGCGCATTTTTGCTTTACTTTCTTTACTCAAACCTCCCAGCAGCAAAGAAATGGTTAACAAAATGAGTAAAAAATTCAACCAATCACAATACAAATATCAATCACAAGTTGTAAATAAGCTCCTCCCACTTTCTCTTTCTTTGCTACTTGCCTTCCAGGTGAGTCTATTCTTTTTACACAGCATCATTTAGTTTATTGATTTTTGCTCTTTATATTATAAATTATTCCTTTTGTGATTAAAACTTTACAGGTTTGTTTATTCCCTTTATTATTTTATGTATTTTTTCACCAGTTACCTTATTCTAACCATATTGGCTTCAGGGTAGGGCCAAACTGGCCCACCGGGATACCGGGAAATTTCCCGGTGGGCCGTCGCCACCTGGGGCCGGGCAGACAGCAGAGTGTGGTGGCGGCTGCAGGGGGAGCAGTGATGGCGGCAGCAGGAGGAGCAGTGATGGCGGCCGCAGGGGGAGCTATGCTGTCTCTCCCCCTGCGGCCGCCAGCACACCCACCTGCCTGCCCTGCACGACCCCCTGGCCAGTCGCCCACAGGTAGCAATAATGTGTGTCAGTGTGAGTGTGTGTGTCTGTCTCTCATGGCGTGTGTGTGCGTGTGTGTCTGCCTGTCATGGTGTGTGTGTCTGTGTGTCTGTCTGTGTCATGGTGTGTGTGCGTCTGTCTGTCATGGAGTGTGTGTGTGTTTCTGTGTCATGGTGTATGTGTCTTTCTGTCTGTCATGGTGTGTGTGTGTCTGTCTGTCATGGTGTGCGTCTGTCTGTCATGGTGTATGTGTGTGTGTGTCTGTGTCATGGTGTGTGTGTCTCTCTGTGTCATGGTGTGTGTGTCTGTGTCATGGTCTGTCTGTGTCATGGTGTGTGTGTGTGTCAGTCAAGGTGTGTATATGACTGTCATGTTATGTATGTGTCTGTCATGATATGTGTGTGTCTGTCAAGGTGTGTGTGTGTGTCTGTCATGGTGTGTGTGTGTGTCTGTCTGTCAAGGTGTGTGTGTGTGTCTGTCATGGTATGTGTGTGTCTGTTAAGGTGTGTGTGTGTGTGGGCACATGTGTGTGTGTCTGTCTGTCATGGTGTATGTGTGTGTCTGTGTTTAAAACTAGTGTGTTTACTCACCTTTTCCCATGCCGTGATGGTCTCACCTCGACTGGGAATGAAAACCAGCACTGGAAATAATTGCATACCAGCCCAACAGCATACAATTTAATACACTGTCCCCCTCTCCCCAATTTAATACACTGCCCCTCCCACAATTTAATACACTGCCCCCTCCTCCCTATTCAATACACTGCCCCCCTCCTCCCAATTTAATACACTGCCCTCCCCTTGCCTCCTCCAATTTAATACACTCCCCCTCCTCTCAAATTAATACACTGCCCCTCTCCTCCCAATATAATACACTTCCCGCCTCCCCCAATTGAATGCACTGCCCCTCCCCTTCGCAATTCAATACACTGCCCCCTCCTTCCTATTTAATACACTGCCCCCATTTCCCCAATTTAATACACTGCCCCCTCCCCACAATTTAATACACTGCCCTCCCTCTTCCCTATTCAATACACTGCCCCCTCCTCCCTATTCAACACACTGCCCTCCCTCCTCCCTATTCAATACACGGCCCTCACTACCCACAATTTAATACACTGCCTCCTCCTCCCAATTTAATACACTGCCCTCCCCCAGTTAATTACACTGCCTTCCCCTAATTCAATACACTGCCCCCCTCCTCCCTTTTCAATACACTGCCTTTCCTCCTCCCTATTCAATACACTGCCCCTCGCCCACATTACTTTAATCCTGTTCTAGTAGCTCAGTGGGCAACATCTAGGCATTTTTAAATACTGCAATTTTTTGGTGCTAAATAGTACATTTGCGTACTGCATTTCTTGCAGTCCAATAAAACCCTTAAATACTACTGTTACATTTTTGGTTTAAAAAATCAAACTTTTTTGGTGCTAAATAGTACATTTGCTGCCTGCGGTGCCCTTCATATCTGACAGTCAAATAGAACCGTCAAATACTGTGCTTACATTGCAGTTTAAAACATTCCAATTCTTTAGGTGCTAAAAAGTCAGTTTGGTGCCTGCACTTCATATCTGAGAGTCAAATAGAACCGTCAAATACTGTGCTTACATTGCAGTTTAAACATTCAAATTCTTTAGGTGCTAAAAAGTAAATGTGGTGCCTGCAGTTCATATCTGAGAGTCAAATAGAACCGTCAAATACTGTGCTTACATTGCAGTTTAAAACATTCAAATTCTATGGGTGCTAAAAAGTCAATTTGGTGCCTGCACTTCATATCTGAGAGTCATATAGGACCATTAAATACTGTGCTTACATTGCAGTTTAAAACATTCAAATTATTTAGCTGCTAAAAAGTCAATTTGGTGCCTGCACTTCATATCTGAGAGTCAAATAGAACCGTCAAATACTGCTGTGACATAGCAGTTTTAAACATTTGAATTCTTTAGTTGCTAAAAAGTAAATTTGATGCCTGCAGTTCATATCTGAGAGTCAAATAGAACCGTCAAATATTGTGCTTACATTGCAGTTTTAAACATTTGAATCCTTTAGGCGCTAAAAAGTAAATTTGGTGCCTGCAGTACATATCTGAGAGTCAAATAGAACCGTCAAATACTGTGCTTACATTGCAGTTTAAAACATTCAAATTCTTTAGGTGCTAAAAAGTCAATTTGGTGCCTGCACTTCATATCTAAAAGTCAAATAGAACCGTCAAATACTGCTGTGACATAACAGTTTTAAACATTCAAATTCTTTAGCTGCTAAAAAGTCAATTTGGTGCCTGCACTTCATATCTGAGAGTCAAATAGAACCGTCAAATGCTGTGCTTACAGTGCAGTTTTAAAAATTCAAATTTATGGGCTGCTAAATAGTACATTTGGAGTGTGCACTTTATATCTGGTGTATGTGTGCAACATTGGCTAGTTACTGCTTCTCAAGAAAGTCTAAAGACTTTTTTAAAAAGTGAAAGATTCATATACAGAAGCATTAATATACATTTCTATATTGTGTAAAGACACAACTACAAAGTTAAGAACCAAACACCAAAACAACGTGGAATGAAGGTCATGCGAGTGACGTGTGCAGTTTTGAGGAAGAGGCACTGGTCGCACAGAGGCACCAGCACAGCATAAGAGGGAGCAGGGTGCAAAAGCGGAGCGGTCGTCCTCTAGCGCTCGTCGGTATGTATTATCTTTAGAATTCCCACAGTTATCCAAATAACAGATGGAGCGATAAAAGGAACCATAACAGATTTAACGAGCCATTCGCAGTTTCACAGTCAGGTGGGCAGTCCGGTGACCGGGACCCAGACACCGTCCGGGCGGCGGTCGGATGACTGGGAACCCGTATGCCTGATGCTGAAGTTAGGAGTCACAGTCTGGAATGGATTAGCAGGGTCTGGTGCAGGGTAACCGCACGCCCCCTGGTGTTGAGCACCAGCGTTTCAGCGAGCAGCAGCAGGCGATAGTGGAGTTTCAGCTGCAGCACGCCCGGGTCAGTCGCTCTGCACCAGACTTGCCCTCCAATTGATCCAAGTTAAAGGATTTAAAGTGGACTCATTACAATTACAGGGCCTCGAAAGAGTAGTGTATTGTTATTTGTCGTCACTACCTCCCCGCGTTGGGAGTGGGTAATTTGCACGTCTGCTGCCTTCCTTGCATGTGGTAGCCGTTCCTCAGGCTCCCTCTCTGGAATCGAACCCTGATTCCCTGTTACCCGTGGTCACCATGGTAGGTGCGGAAAATAGCATCGAAAGTTGATAGGGCAGACATCCGAATGAGTTGTTGCCGTCACGGGGACGTGCGATCGGCACGAGGTTATCACAGACAAGCGCAGCCGCCTGTCCACGGCCAACGTGGACAAGCTCACGTTTATTAAAATGAACCAGGCATGGATGCCACCAGACTTGTCTGTACCTTGTGCAGAATAGACATTTATACCTGCTTCACCCAGCCATTGTTATACTCAAGTGCACTTATTCTTTTTTTTCTTTTTTTATGTCCCAATATTTTGGGTGTTCCCTCAATTAAAAAAAAAATTTTAAAAAAATAAAGAGTGTTGGCTACCTCCTCCTCCTTCTCCACCGCCGCCGCTTCCACCTACACTGCCACGGTGTATACCCAGATATATCAGAGCTGCTGCAGAAAGTGCGGGCCCTCTGTGTGTGCTTTTGGCGTTCTCACCCTGCTGCTGCTCACCTGTCTGCGCTGCAGCATAACTTCGGCCTTCCCACTCACCGCCTCATATGCGACATGCCCACAAGGTGGATCTCCACCTTGCACATGCTGGAGAGACTGTGGTAGCAGCAGCAGCAGGCGATAGCGGAGTTTCAGCTGCAGCACGCACGGGTCAGTCGCTCTGCTACAAGACTTGCCCTCCAATTGATCCAAGTTAAAGGATTTAACGTGGACTCATTACAATTACAGGGCCTCGAGAGAGTAGTTTATTGTTATTTGTTGTAACTACCTCCCCGAGTCGGGAGTGGGTAATTTGCGATAGCGGAGTTTCAGCTGCAGCACACACTGGTCAGTCACTCTGCAGAACAGCACCACTTCACCACCAATGAGTGGGCCTCCATGCGAGACCTGTGTGCCATGTTGCGCTGTTTCGAGGACTCCACCAACATGGCCAGTGCCGATGACGTCATTCTCAGCCTTACTATCCCGCTTCTATAATAAATATGTAAAACACAAGAGGCTGGAAGGTAGGGAGAAAAAACTTACCCACCTCCCGTCTCTCGAGTAAATAAGGTCACCTAGACTGGGTAATAGGGGGTAACCGAAGAAATTATAAAATAGAAAATAATACCCAAAAAGTTACCTTACTAGAAGATAGCCAATAGGAGAAGGACCCAGTAAAGTATCCCGCTTCCATGTCTCGCTTTGGCCGATGATGGAAGAGGATGTGGCACAGGAGGAAGAGGAGGATGAAGAGGGGTCATTTCCACGGTTATCAGGCCAGTCATTCACAAGTGGCTCGGAGGGTGGGTTCCTGCACCAGCATAGGCCAGGTACACAATTGTCCAGCATCTCCTCGCTGTCCCATGGAAGCGTTCAGCTGTCCATCTCCCAAACACTGGAGAGAAAGAGGAAGTACCTCCCTAACCACCGCGATACCTGGCCCTGAATGCCAGAATTTTCAAAATTCCTGGCCTTTGAAATGCTGTCATTCCATCTGGTGGAGACGGACAGTTTTAAAAACCTGATGGCGTTATTGGACTACAAGAAATGCACCGCAGGCCACAAATGTTTCTTTTTTTATATGACCCAATATTTTGGGGGCTACCCCAATTAAAAAAAAAAAAAACAGTGTTGGCTACCTCCTCCTCCACCGCCGCTTCCACCTACACCGCCACGGTCACCGCCTCCTCAACCTATGGGTCACTTAGTATAAACTATGTACACAATAGCAGAGGCTTGTGAAGGCCTTTTCTCCATGCATCAGTAGTTGAGCTCAGTTTGAACAATGAAAGAGAATACCCTGCACTCCAACCCTCTCTCAAATGGATAATTCTGGTGATCCTCCTGACAGCCATGCTTTAGATTTTGATTTATGTTCTTCTAAAATCAAAAATTCCAACTAGTGCTATTTTATGGCTCAGCTATATTTTTAATTTTTATGTATTTTATGTTATTTTAAGTGATATCCCTATCCACATTTGTTTGGAGGGCACTTGTCCTACTCTTACCCCCATTTTACTTCCTTTTGCAGCCCTCTAGCGCTTTCCAGGACTTTTTTAGAAGCATTTTAGTGCCCAAATGTTCGGGTCCCCATTGACTTTTTTCCAAAGTTCAGCCGAACCTGCCGAACCCGAACATCCAGGTGTCCGCTCAACTCTAGTGATGATATTTTAGGATAAATTTAGATAGGTTTATTAATAAATATTGTAAAATCATGTACATGATAAAAAGAGCACAAATAATGTTATTTCTAAATTGTAAATTAAACTTGTAATTGACGCTGAAGATCTCGATGCATTATTTGTTCAAAGTGCAATATACCTGAACTAAGTAGGATTAAATTATGTTGCTTCACATTGGACATATGTCTTAAAATTCTTCATTACTACAAGTAGACCAGATAAGCAGCAGATTTTGTTTCTGCCTCTTTTGACACTAATGATGAAAGGATTGATGTTAAAAACCCATTTCTTCAAGATTGAAAATGTAATTAAAATAGAGAACAAGAACTGGCGTGATGTGGTTACACTTGAGTATGTGAAAGGGAGGATTAATCTTTTTTAATATAGCTTCATTTAAAGTGTGTTGAATTTGATTTTTAATCCCTTAAGGAACAGTGACATTTCATGCTGTGTTGGCTAACACATGCATATGAGCCCTATATCAGCATGGAACGGAACGGCCTTTATATTTAGCATCAGAAGTTATTGTGAATAAATAGGACATGACAAAACTTGCAGTGTAAGGCCTTTAAAAGGGGAATTTAAAGAAAATAGACACTAAAGCTCATGTAGTTGTTATGGTACTAAGGCTATTTGCACCTTCACCAGGTTTTCTGGCTTTCCAGCCCCCAGGACTCACAACCTATAGTCACAATTTAAATTGAACTTGTAGATTCAATGATTGAAAATTCATAAAAGCCAATTAGAATACATATTTGACTGGTACAACATAGCAGTTTTACTAAGAACTTTATCTAAACTCTGTGAGATAATAATAATCTGTTCCACATCAGGTGCTAAAATTGGGTAAATACAGATGGACAACAACACGACATACTACACCAGGAGCCGCGCGCGCATTCAGCCAATCAATAGTAAAGCATTCACAATGCTTTCCTATGGACGCTGGCGTCTTCTCACTGTGATTTTCATAGTGAGAAACGCGGAAGCCCTCAATGAGACAGCCACTAGAGGCTGGATTAACCCATTTATAAACATAGCAGTTTCTTTGAAACTGCTATGTGTATAGAAAAAAGGGTTAACCCTAGATGGACCACTATAGGCACCCAGACCACTTCAGCTTATGAGGTGGTCTGGGTGCCTATAGTGGTCCTTTAACAAAAATAAAGCCATGATAGAGAGCCATGTGTGAAAAACTAAGTGCACCCTTGCTGCTTTCATAGGAATTATAAGGATAAGTAGCAGATATGTTCTTGATGAAATTATCATCAACAAGTGCTCCCTTTCTCCTCAAAGCTTCTGGAAAGACATGTCTTTACCCTTATGTCTCATTTCCTCAATTCCAACTCTCTCCTTGACCCTCTTCAATCTGGCTTCCGCCCTCTCCACTCTACTGAGTCTGCTCTTATCAAAGTTACTAATGACCTAATCACAGCTAAATCAAGAGGCCACTACTCCATACTAATTCTTCTTGACCTGGCTGCTGCCTTTGACATCGTTGATCATGCTCTCCTTCTTCAAACTCTTCAATCACTCGGTCTCTGTGACTCTGTCCTCTCGTGGTTTTCCTCTTATCTCTCCCAACGCTCATTCAGTGTCTCCTTTTCTAATGATTCCTCCTCCCCTCGTCCTGTCTCAGTTGGAGTCCTCCAAGGCTCTGTACTTGGTCCCCTTCTATTTTCTCTTTATACTGCCTCTATTGGCAAACTTATTACCTCTTTTGGATTCCACTACCATCTGTATGCTGATGACACCCAGATATATATCTCCTCCCCGGACCTCTCCCATGCCGTCCTGCAACGTGTCACTGCTTGCCTTTCTTCCATCTCTGACTGCATTTCCTCCCGCTTTCTGATTTTCACTGTGAGAAGCGCAGAAGCGCCCTTTAGCGGCTGTCAATGAGACAGCCACTAGAGGCTGGATTAATCCTATTGTAAACATAGCAGTTTCTCTGAAACTGCTATGTTTACAGCTGCAGGGTTAACCCTAGATGGACCTGGCACCCAGACCACTTCATTGAGCTGAAGTGGTCTGGGAGACTTTAGTGGTCCTTTAAGAGAGCTGTGCATAAACAAATGCCAGCAAACCTCAATAAACTGAAGCAACAGTATAAAGAAGAATGGGCCAAAATTCCTCCACAACAATGTGAGTTGTTGTCATACAGAACTATTACTTCAAGTTAAATCTGCTAAAGGTGACTTTAAAAGCTACTGAATCACTTACGAATCACACCACTAAAGAGAAAATACACGCGAGCTAAGACACATACTCACGCGCTAAATGCGAAAAAAAATCTATACAAAAAGAATGTTTACAAAAAAAGCTATTGAATCATAATGTGTACTCTTTTTTTTTACATGTGTCTTCCCCATTTTGGCTTTATTTTTGTTAAATAAATCATGGCCCCCTGTAATATGTCATGTGTTGTTCATCTTAGGTTGTATTTAATTAATTTTAAGACCTGCTAAAGAACAGATGATTATTATCTGTTAGATGATTATGTCTTGATATGTAAAACTAAAGAATTCAAAGAGGGTGTACTTTCTTTTTCCCATGACTGTATCTGCTGAACACAGGCTAGCCTTTCATCAGGTAATATAGTTTGTAAGTAAAGATACATTTAAAGCAAGATTATACAACAAATTCCCTATATAGTTCATTATGGTGAAAACCAAATTGCGAGATGCAGGCTAAAGTATTGAAACTATGGTTTTAGCTGAGTTTGAGAATTTTTCCAATTCAACTATATGTGGACCACTTTAGCATTTTAGTTTCTAATTCACTATAATTCACTGCTTAGTGATAGGATTCTTACCTCTTGTTCCTGTTCGTATTTTGCATTTCAACTACTTGTCAAATAATCCCAGTCTATAATTGTAAAATGCTGTTGAATATGATGGTGCTATATTTGCTAATAATAATTATAATACAACCATTATCTCATATTATGTGTGGCAGTGTTACTTTAAATGT